GGATTTGGGGCTCCCTATGGAAAGGATGGTCTCCCAACTGGGGCTGGTGTTGGAGGTGCTGGTGCTACTGGTGCAGGGGGATTTGGGGCTCCTTATGGAAAGGATGGTCTCCCAGCTGGGACTGGGGCTGGTGGTACTGGTGGTGCTGGTGCAGAACCACTTGGGTATCCATATGGAAAAGATGGCATCCCTGCTGGACCAGGTGTTGGTGGAGCTGCAGGTGGTGGCTTTGGAGGTGTTGGATCTTTGTATGGAAAGGATGGTCTCCCAGTTGGAGCAGGTGTTGGTGCTGCTGCTGTAGCTGGGGCAGGGGGAGTTGGTTCTCCCTATGGAAAGGATGGTCTTCCAGCTGGAGCTGGTGTTGGTGCTGCTGGTGCTGCTGGTGCAGGGGGATTTGGGTATCCATATGGAAAAGATGGCCCTGCTGGTGCAGGCACTGGTGGAGCTGCAGGTGGTGGCTTTGGAAGTGTTGGGTCTCCTTATGGAATGGATGGTTTCCCAGCTGGAGCAGGTGCTGCTGGTGCAGGGGGAGGTGGGGCTCCCTATGGAAAGGATGGTCTCCCAGCTGGAGCAGGGGTTGGTGGGGCTGGTGCTGCTGGTGCGGGGGGATTTGGGGCTCCCTATGGAAAGGATGGTCTCCCAGCTGGAGCAGGGGTTGGTGCTGCTGGTGCTGCTGCTGCAGGGGGATTTGGGGCTCTCGCTGGTGTCCCTGGTGGGGCTGGTACTGGTGGTGCTGGTGTAGCTGGTGCAGGGGGAATTGGGGCTCCCTATGGAAAGGATGGTGTCCTGGCTGGACCAAGCATTGGTGGAGCTCCAGGTGGTAGTGTGGGAGGTGTTGGAGCTCCATATGGGATTGATGGTTTCCCAGCTGGAGCAGGTGCTGCTGGTGCAGGGGGAGTTGGATCTCCATATGGAAAGGATGGTCTCCCAGCTGGAGCTGGTGGTGCTGGTGGTGCTGGTGCAGGGGGAGTTGCAGCTCCCTTTGGAAAGGATGGTCTTCCAGTTGGAGCTGGTGTTGGTGGTGCTGGTGTTGGTGGTGCTGGTGTAGGGGCATTTGGGTCTCCCTATGGAAAGGATGGTCTTCCAGCTGGGGCTGGTGCTGGTGGTGCTGGTGGTGCTGGGGCAGGGGGAGTTGGTTCTCCCTATGGAATAGATGGTCTTCCAGCTGGGGCTGGTGGTGCTAGTGGGGTTGGTGTAGCTGGTGGAGGGGGGCTTGGGGCTCTCTATGGAAAGGATGGTGTCCTAGCTGGAGCAGGGGTTGGTGGTGCTGGTGGTGCAGGGGGAGTTGGGGCTCTCTGTGGAAAGGATGGTCTCGCAGCTGGGGCTGGTGTTGGTGGTGGTGCTGGTGCTGCAGGAGTCGTGTCTCCCTATGGGAAGGATGGTGTCCCAGCTGGGGCTGGTGGGGCTGGTGCTGCTGGTGCAGGGGGAGTTGGGTCTCCCTTTGGAAAGGATGGT